TTTTTTTGATGAATTCTGATACTTGCATTTCAGGGGATAAAAAGTGTGACCTGGATTGACCTTTAAAATTATGATATTCCATTATAATAGCTACTTTCCCAGTTTCTAATAACATACAAAAACCGGAGCCACTTGAAGCGAATCTACATAAAAAGAAATATAACAATATATGATAAATACTTGAGGTAACAGGAGGATAGTGCATGAGGACAAAACTAGAAGAGAAGATGACATAATGTCCAACTATAGAAGAAAACGAATGATATGAATTATCTAACTATACCATGGGACGGTATGACACCTCATCACAGTTCCTGGCGCCTAATCAAGACCCAATCCATTTGTGGTGCTAAATAAGGCATAACGATGTACACAACAATATAAATAAACTTTGAAGTACAACACTTCGCGCAAAATCACTGGTGGCAACAAATGGAGCACAATGATGCCATGGAGCGCAGATTCCAGATACGGCAGTTGAAGTCACACATTCTAAATACATTCTTCAGCTGTTTCCTATCAAGTAGTATACGTGCTAAAGAAGCGGCCGTTCATCCTTCCTTTGATTTGAAAAATGTTCTCCATGTTTAGTGAGGTTTCCTATATCAAAATAGGAACTGTAGTGTGGTCCATTTTTATAAGTTGCTTATGGTTGAGAAGGTTTGTAAATGCATTAACGATGAATTTCTATGTAGAGCTTAGATGCTTTTAGATTGTAAAGAAAAACGAAAACAAGAAGAAGGAGAAGGATCCTGTTAAAAAAATACTTCTTAATGTTCAGTTACAAGATGAGGAGAAGTCTAAGAGTGAAATTATAATAGCCAAAACAGTAGCGTCGGACCCTCTTGCTGCTATCGAAGGAGAAGCTAAAAGGTGAGATGCAAGAACATGGGTAACAAAATATTGAAAAAATTTGTATATATGACTCCCTTTCAGGACAAAACCCAAAACCCCACCACCAGTGTGAGTTTTAATCTGATTGCCTTTGCTTCAAAACGACCAAAGTTTCTTTTTTTCCAGTTCAAAATCACCAAAACAGAAGTAAGTTCAATTCAGATGCACTGCATGAAAACAGCAAAGAAAATGCGCTTTCGCTACCCGCCAAGCAATTTCTACGGGGATTCTGTGGATCGCCTCTTTTGTAGAGAACTGTGCTATACAGATCGACTGCAGTAGCATATAATTCTAAAACAGAGAAGCAGTGAACTAAAGATCGCCTAATTCAACCTAAAGAGCAGATAAACGCTTTTCGCTTCTCTCATAAGGGTATCTGGTATCTCCATACCTCATAAGGATCGGCCGATTCAACGACCGGCCCTTATAACGCTTACACAATAAGAGTATCTCCATACTTCATAAGGATCGGCCGATTCAATCGGCCGATCTCATAACGCTTATAAGCGCAGTAAGAATTGGCCGATCGAGGGTGCGCGGCGGTTGCGTTGCGGCTCCTGTTGAGTACCGATTTGTTGCAATTGGGCTCTATCGCAGCCTTTCCGCACTTTTTTCTTCC